GCATATTGTTGGATCTTGCTTTTTGACCCATTCTGCCAGTCTATTTCTTTTGATTGGTGAACTGAGACCATTAACATTGATGGTTATAACTGATATGTATTGACTTATCATTGTCATGACTTTTTCTGTTTGTTGAATTCTCCACCTTTGTGTTTAATTTCTTGTTATGCCCAAAGGATTCATTCTGCTGGGCTTCCTGGGGTTGTGATCCTCGTTGTCTTTTCCTAGGATATTGTCTAAAAGTTTTTGGAGTGCTGGTTTGGTATTCATGAAGTTCCTAAGGTGCTGTTTGTCAAGAAAGTATCTTTTTTCTCCATCAATTTTGAAAGATGATTTTGTAGGGTACATCAGTCTGGGTTGGAGGCTGTTTTATTTCAGGGCTTGAAATACATCACTCCAAGCTCTTCTTGCCTTGAGGGTTTGCGTTCAGAAGTCTGCTGTCATTCTGATGGGCTTTCCTTTGTATGTGGTTTGTTTCTTTTCTCTAACTGCTTGTAGAATTTTGTTCTTCTGTTGGATTTCTGGAATCCTAACTATTATATGCGTATGTGTAGATTTTTTTTTTTTTTTTTAAGGCTAGTTGGAATCCGATATGCCTCCATTATCTGTATGTCAAGTTCTTTTCCTCTGCTTGGGAAGTTTTCTGCCATCACTTCTGTGAACAGTTTTTTTTATGTCATCTGCACTCTCTCCTGTTTCTTCACTGACTCCAGTCAGCCTTATGTTATTCTTCTTTGCATCATCTAGCAGCTGCTGGATTGATTTCTCGTGGTCCCTTATAATTTTAAAGCAGTTTTTCTTTTCCTGGTGACTAATTGCAGTATTATCTTCTATATCTGAAATTCCATTCTCACGTTGGTTCATTCTGCTGCATAGACTTTCAGTGGAGTTTTTAATCTCCTGGCAATCTGTTTATGTGTTTTATGGATTCCATTTGTTTCCTGTGTTGGGATTCCATCATGTTCCTCAGCTCCTCTATTTTTTTTTTATCTGTTTCCTCTGTAGATTTATTAATCATTTCTTGCACTATGGGCACAATCCCTGCTGTTATCTGAGAAATTATTTCTGATTTCATTTTTTCCAGATCGTCTTTTGTTGCAATTTCAGGGAGTCCAGGTGGTTGAGTATCAGAGTGTTCCATCTCATTTCCTTTTGGGGTTGTTTTAGGTGATCTGGACATCTGGTTTTGAAACTTATTTACATGTCTTCTCATTTCAAGGAGGGGGGGTGCTTCTGGCATCTGTGTGGCTCACCTCCTCTGTGCTGGCTGGGGTGGTATGGTGGCCCGGAAGCCTCCTCCTGTGTGCTGGGAGTGGTTCACCTCCTCTGTGCCTGCGGGGGATCGCCCCCAAATCCAGGAAAGCACTTTGAAAAAGCTCGACATGCAAGAAAACCTGTTCAGTGGGGCAGCAGAGGCCTGGAAGCTAGGACTCCACCAGCAACACCTAAGGTTTAGAAGAATTCTTTAGGGCCGGGGATTTAGCTCAGTGGTTCCGCCACCTGCCTCGCAAGCACAAGGTCCCGAGTTCAATTCCTGGTTCCACATACACACACACACAAATTAGACATAGAAGAATTCTTTATACTTCACAAACTATGTAGTGGATGTCTTTGTGGTACATACTGTCTTGGGGCCATGCACTAAAGGCAGAGCCCTCTCTCTGGCAGAGAGCACCAGAGAGAGTCTGCTGTGAAAATTCCAGACTGCCTGAACCAGGCAGGGCAGTCATGGTGCACAGCACAGTGGTTATTCTGTGTCTGTCTTTGTGTTTTACCTACATTTATGAGGTCTCTAAAGAATGACCAGGTAAGTAAGACCGCCCCTGTATAATGTATGAGTCTTTCTTGGCATTTGAAACTTAAAATTGGGCTGGGGATTTACCTCAGTGGTTCCACTGCCTGCCTTGCAAGTGCAAGGACCTGAATTCGATCCTCGGTAAAAAAAAAAAAAAAAAAGAAAATTAAAATCAGTAAATTATGACACAGACATAACTGCTTTTTTCCTTCTCTTCTTTTTTACACTTTAGGACCCAAAGTGATCCAGACTTCTGCAGCAAATTTTTCACTAAATAATAGCAAAAAGGTAAGGCTGGACATAGGGACATTATAAACTTCAGGTCACTAGGAAATGGTCTTGCTTAGAGGGTCTTGAAGATAGACTGCCTTTGCCTGCCACTTGTGTCTCAAGCAACACCCCACCCCTTTTTTGGTGCTGGGGATTGAACTAGGGTCTTGTGCATGCTAGGCAAGTGCTTTACTGCTGAGCCACACACCAAGCCCTGTACACATATTTTTTATTCCACTGTCAGCTGCTGTCCTCTGGGTTCTTTATTGTTAAAATTACCTTTTCTGCTGTAATACCCAAGTACTTAGGAAATATCGGGGCATTTTACCCCTTAGGGAGCAGCAGTTCCCTTCAAAAGGATGATTAACCATCCGGATTCCTCATGTGTCTAAATCCTGTTAGTTTATAAGTTTTAACAATGATTATTGTGGTTCCTCTGCGCCTCCCTTGCAAGAGCAAGGTCCCGAGTTCAATCCCAAAACAAACAAACAAGCAAACAATGATTACTTAGGTATCTGCACCTTTCTTATCACATTTATCCAAATCAAGCCCTGTTCTGTAACATTTTCTTATCAGTAACAGTTCTCTTTAATGATTATTTGGTATTCTTTGCATGAACTCAGTTTAAATGAATCTCCCTTCCTTCCCTTAAAAATGTGCTTGATTCTTCAACATTATAAGAGAAAAACAGCACTTTTAGTTGGAGAATTTAGATTTTCCGTAGTAAATACTAATTTAAGAGAGCCCCAACAACTAACCCTTTTACTTTTCTATGTCAAACAATTCTTATCTATAAATTGGATACAGTTGTCCTGCATTTTCATGGCACCGTAATATGTGTAGTTTAAATCTCGTTATTTGCCCCTAAATCTCCCCTTCTCTCTGTTCTGCCACCTCTTCTAGGTCTATCTTTACATTTGTTTTGAAAAGGCAAAGGAAAAAGTCCTGAAACTTAAATCTTTCAGTTCTTCTTTGTGCTACTGCTGGTTTGAAAAAGCCCTCTGTTTAGCCTGTATTCACATTTTCTTTGCATTCCTTTATTTTCTTTAACTCTTGAGCAGATGGTTTGATTTGGAGAGGGGCCACTACAGAGTTCCCTGACAGTAGTTGGTTTTCTACAATTTCTGTCTCTCAGGGTGTAAGCTTCTCTTTGACCCTGAGCGTAGCAGCCATCCCACTGAACTGACTTGCCTCCGAGAGACCAACATGAAATGTTTCAAAAGATACTGCAGAAAAATCATTGGCAACATAGCCCTCTCTAATTGTTCTCTCCAGGGCATTGAAACTTTAGTAAAGCTGAAAGTAACAGACTTCAAACAGTGACATATCTGGCCTATTGACAGTAAAGAAATAATTATTAAGACACATTATCATGTGAATATGAAAGCATTCCTTTGGTGTCTTGTTATTATTTTATGTCTCTCATTCTGCTCTTTTCATTTTTTTTCTCCAACATGGCTTTTTCTTGGTGTTTGAGTAGGTGTATTGTCCCAAGGCTCCGGTTGGTAGAAACCACCTGCTTTCAGGTTTTGATGATATGGACATTAATAGCAGCTGGGACTTGGTCGTCCTTCTTCTGGAAGGCAGCATTTTACTACATTGTCAAATGGAAAGCTGTTTTGTTTCAGAGCTAATGCTCAAGCCTTTTTGCTAAATGTAAATTTTGTATGTTAACATTGCTAAATTCAATGAAAAGGTCACATGGATTACTTAATTTTCTTTTCAGCTAAAGCCAATCCAAATACGTTCAAATCCACTGTCTACATATAATCAGCAACTGTGGCTGACATGTGTTGTTGAGTTGGAGCAATCAAAAGGTACGTGGCCTGACATTTGGGGATGATTCTTCTAGTATAGACTTTGTGTGTGTGTGTTGTGTAGTACTGGGAATTGAAATCAGTGCTTTTGCACTGAGCTCCATCCCCAGACTGTTTTTATTTTATTTTATTTTTTATTTTGAGACAAAGACTTGCTGCATTGCCCAAGCTGGGCTTGAATTTGTAATCTTCCTGCCTCAGCCTCCCAGGTGTCTGCCACCACACCCTGCTAAAGCTGTCATATTTAAGAAGTTGAAAGGACTTTGAGATATTTGGACAAGTGCTGAAAGATAAGTGTATAAGGATGTTCATTATTATTCATAACAGCAACATGTTGGAGCCCCTTAAATATCTCCCAGTAGGAGATACAGTTATGACACATCTCTGTAGACCACCAGACAACCTACCTCAGTGAGGATCTGGGAGGGAATTAAGTCCTAAAGCCCAACGCAATGATTCTGTGCCTCAGGGACACTTAGCAGTGTCTGCAAACAATTTGGTCGTCATAGCTGGGGAGGAAAGAGTATTACTGGCATCTTATGGACAGAGGCCAGGGATGCCACTAAACAGTCTACCTTGCACAGGACAGATGCCTACAGCAGGGAATTATCCGGCCCGGGATGTCACTAGTGCCAGGGTTGAGAAACCCGCCCTAAAGCATCCATTGTTTATGATCCATAGCTAAAATGACACTCACTAAAATGATACTAGTTTTGCATCATCTTTGGGAGAACTGAGAAGATAGCCAGCCAATTATTTTCTATGAGGTACGCAGACTGAGAAAGAATTTGAATAGATAACCTTATGAGTACAGTAAATGAAGTAGAAAAAATGCACATTACAAAAAAGTATCCCTTTTTGGTAACATTTTAAAGAGCAAAAATATATTTTTATCATTATGTATTTGTGAGTTTAGAAAATGGCCTACAAGTGTGTACACAAAAATATTGTTACAGTTGTATCTAGGTGGTGGAATTGTAATGCTTAGTGCCATTTATATATTTTTTGTTCTCTGATTTTTTATAATGAGAATATAATTACTATTTTTGAAAAATTGTATTAGTACATGTTTGCAGTATATAATGATTACATTCATCTTGGGGAATTGGTACATGTACATAATACATCTTAATTCTTTTTTGTCCCCTCCCCCTCCTCTCCCTCCTCACGCCTTGCAACTCTTGGTCCTCTTCCCATTTGCAAAAGCTCCATTTGTTTGTTTCTTTCTTTTTTTGCTTCAGTTCTTTTTTGTTTTTTCAGTCTCCTTTCCCTCCCCTCCTTTCCCCTCCTTCCATCTCTTGTTCCCGTTCCGTATTGAAAAAGATCTCCCTACTTCCTATTATCTGTCCCTTATTTTGCTCTTTATTTATATTTTGAGTTTCTCATATAAGAGAAACCAAGTGATATTTAGACTCATGTGTCTGATTTATTTCAGTTAACTTTATGGTCTCGAGATGCATCCATTCACCTCCATATGCCTCAAGTTTATCATTCTGTATGGCAGAGTACTACTCCATTGTGTATAAATATCACATTTTCTTTATCCATTCATCTGTTGATGGGCATATAGGCCATTTCCAAGATTTAGCTATTATGAATTGTGCTGCTATAAACATGGGTGTACATGGATCACTGTAATATGATAACTTTAATTCTTTTAGGAAGATACTAGAAGGTAAACAATAGCCGAGGTTCTTACTAACTTGAGCACATGTGCACACACACATGGGTTAAATGGAATTTCTGTTTTAGTTTTTGTGGCTTGTCCATGCCAATCTCCACAGTGCTTGTACTAGTTTACATTTCCACCAACCATATAGAAGGGCTCTTTTTCCTCCACAGCCTTGTCCAAATTTGTTATTATTTAATATCTTGATAGCTATTCTTTCTAGAGTGAGATGGAATCTCAGTGTTGTTTTAATTTGCATTTCTCTAATAACCAGCAATGTTGAACATTTATTCATATTTTGATTGGCTGATTGTACTTCTGAGAAGTGTCTATTCTTTGGTTGCCTATTTTTTGATCTGGTCTTTTATTTTGAGGGATATAATTTTCTTTGAGTTCTTTACTCTAGATGTTAGTCCTTTGCCTGAGGAATAGCTAGCAACATTTTTTCCCCATTTGGTAGGTTGTCTCTTCACTGTGTTGGTTTTTTTCCTTTGCTGTGCAGAAGCTTTTAAATTTGATGTGTACTCATTTGTTGATTCTCAGTATTATTTCTCTTGCCATTGGGCTTCTGTTGAGAATATCCTTGTCTATGCCCATGTCTGCAAGAGTTTTACTTATTTTATCTTCCAGTGATTGTTTTTGTTCTGACATTTAGATCTTTAATCCATTTTTATTTTAGTTTGTTGAGAGATAGGAGTCTAGACTCAATCTTCTGCATGTGGGCATCCAGTTTTCCCAGCAGTATTTATTAAAGAGGCTATCTTTCCTCCAGTGTATGTTTCTGGCCCCTTTGTCAAAGGTCAAATAGCTGAACGTGCTTGGGGTTGTTTCTGCATCTTCTATTCAGTTCCATTGATATACGTGTCTGTTTTGAGCCAGTACCATGCAGTTTTTATCACTGTAGCTTTGTAGTATAACTTCAGATCTGGGATTGTGATGCCTTCTGCTTTGCTTTTGTTACCCAGGATTGCTTTTGCTTTTCTGGGTCTCTTCTGGTTCCATGTGAAATTTAGAATTGTTTTCTCTAGATCTGTGAGAAATGCTGTTGGCATTTTGATTGTGATTGTGTTAAATCTATATATGAGTTTTGGAAGTATAGCCATTTTGACTATAGTGGTTCTGCCTATCCAGGAATATGGGATATCCTCCATTTTCTGATGTCCTCTTCAATCTCCTTTTTCAAAGTGATATAATTTTCATTGTAGAGATCTTCTACTTCCGTAGGTTAATTCCTAAGTATTTAATTTTTCTTGATGTTATTGTGAATGGTATAGAGAATATAATTAGAAAAATAAAGTATAATCAGAAAAATAAAAAATATGTTTTGGTATAAGTTAAATTAAAAATTTCTGTGAGAAATTAAAAATGTACTGTAATTTCATTAGCCATGAAGTACTCAGCCTTGTGAAGTGAAAGTTATGGCTCTGAAATGGAGGTTTTGGCCCAGGCCCTCTCATTTATGGGCTGGGAGTAGAATCTAGTGGAAGGGCTTCCTTTGCTGGGTGAATGTGAAGTTTTCAAATAGCGGAGGGTGATGTGGCCTCAGAATGCTCCTGGGCACCTGTGTGTTCTGGCCCAAATGCCATGGCAGAGCCTGGCAGGCACCTTTGTTGTAGGATGGGCCTGAATGATGTTACTGAATTTCTTTCTTTTGTAGAAACTTCCATTCAGACAAGCTTTCCCATGACTGTTAAAGTCAATGGCGTGGCTCAAGATGGAACCATGATGTACATTCATAACAAGATTCACAATCGGACAAGGACCCTCACGTGTGCAGGGGTGAGTGTGTTTGATGATTCCATGGCTATGTACACCAACACAGACCTGCTTCTGCAGAGTTGAAGGCAGAACCCATTCACAAGCTTCAAAATATTGTTCTTAAGAAAGAAAAATTAAGTCATGGCAAAGAAAGCACAGAAGACTCACCTAGTTTTATATGCCGTTGCCCTTGAAGGTTCTTATTAGCTTGAACATATGTGCACATACATTCATTTATGCACACTCGCCCTGCCACACACTCTGAGTATACTCCATACTTGTTTTATTCCTCGTGTAACTCCCTGCCTGGTATGTCCATGGAAAGGCTGCCTTTCAGATGAAGGTCTGCCTCCATTTTGTGGTCACTCCTCATCATTGAAGAGGAGGGTTTGGGGTTGTTTGCAGCAGGTGTTGAATGCCCTGATCTATCTTGGGAGGCAGAGTGCCCAGGCCTCTTAGAGTTAGTGGCCTCCTTTTTGGCATCTACTTCAGGGTGCAGGGTGTGGCTAAGCAACAGAGGATCCAGAGTAGGAAATGTACCCTTATTTTTGAATTCATTGGTACCATGTTTTGTTCAGAATCTAATGACTCAGAATTCAATTGCTGGGACAGCAAGGAGACCACATCAGGACTGAACAGGTTTCTGGAAGCACAGGGAACTTGGAGAGCATTACACAGGCAGGGCGTTTGATTAGAGGACCAAACAAGGATGTCGGAGACAGGTCATGCCTAGTCTATGTGAGGCATCATGCTGAGGATTTTCCATAGATTACTCATTAATCCTCATAGCAGGTGCATGGAGGAGTGACTATTATTAGAGCCCATTTTATACAAGAAGAAACAGGCTTTGCGAGGTTAAAGCCATTGTTCAAGGTGAAACAGCTAGTAAATGGGGGACTGGATCTGAGGCCATGCTCTTTTATCCTGAAGCTCATGGCCCCACGATGCATCCTGCCTTGTTACTGGCAGTAAAGACACTACCCTGTTTGTCCTGTCAAGTAGAGATGGACCCCTGCACAGGGCCCAGCCTCCTTCTCTGCTCCCTCTCTGTGAACTGGGTCAGGATCCTGGCCAGAGGGTGCAGGGCTGTTGGAAAGGTGAGCCATGCTCACAGAGCAGGCCTCTCCAGCAGAGCTTTGACAGTGGTGGCTTCCATGAACTCAGCAGCCACAGTTCCATCCATCATGGTCGAGGTGGTGTTTAGAGAAGGCCAGAAGTAACTGGCCTCTTGTTCTGCCTCCCTCCTGTGACCTGTGTTGGATGGTGTGAGCCAGCTTCTAGAGAATATTATCCTCACCTGTAAAGTGGGGCTTGAGCTCCACCCCCACCTATCTCTGGAGAGTGGCGAGGATCAAGGTGACTCACCTGTGCAGCAGATGATATCTGTACCTGTGGGAGTTGTCTGTGCACCCCACCCACCTGTGTGCTGGTGTCGGTCAGTTCAGATGAATCAGAGGAGGGATGGCATGTGTGAAGGTCAGAAAGGACAACCGTCCCAGCAGCTGGCCTGACCTTCTCTTCCCCAGGAAAGAATAGGCCAAATCCTACTTTAGTTGGCACGTGGCACAGGATGAACAGCTGTTCAGTGCTGTAGCTGTGGCTGGTGTGACAGATCACCTTGACTAAGGGGTTTCCCAGCACGTGGGACTTCCTGTTTTAAAAGTAGGGTGTGCTGCCAGGGCTTCAGGGAGAGCCAGGCCACCTGTGGGAGCTGGCTGTGTTGTTACTTGTTGACATTTCTGAGGTTTTCTCTGGTTCAGTTGGTGGTCCTGCTTCAGTTTATACTATATCACCCCCTAGGAATATTTCTCTTCTGTTCCTTGGTCCATTGTCCTGACTTAAGAAAGCATGGAATCCTAATGTTACAGAAATATTTACCACTCTGTTTGAATATATTTTTTTATGTGAAGAGAAAACATTGTCAGTCTTGGGGTAGCAAGGTTGTCCATGCCTTGCAGGGGAGAAAACTGTGTTCCTGTCACCAGGTGTTGTAATCTGCCTCAGAGACACGGCTTGAACTTGGGACCCACAAATCTGCAGGTGGCTTCATATGGGTTTTTTCAGTGTGAAAGTATGTTCAATCCAAGCAGTAACTCTTTTGTTCATTAAAACATCCCCTGAAAACTAAGCCATATTCTTACAGGAAGTGCTTCTCTGTCTAACAGAAATATGTTTACTGAAGTTGAACCTGTCTGCCCCAGTCTTGAACCTGTGACTATTGGGATGGAAAGGTTAATTTAGTTTTTCTGGGAATGCAAACATATGCCCATGCCAAGAGGGTAGGAAACCACTTCAAATGAGAAAAACTAATCAGGCGGAAAGAAAACCATGGCTCAGATGAGATAAAGAGTAGCAGAGATGTGGGAAAATGGGAAGGGGCTGAGTGGTTGTCCAGGTAGCCCTTGCCCTCAAGGGCAGCCCTCCCTGCCTGGCTGAGTGTGGCCGGCTGTGGTGCAGGTCCATGGTGGCCAGTTTGCCCAAGTGTTTTGAGACTTTTGGCCTTCACACTACCTCTGGGCCTTGCACACTCACTTTTGGCTTTTGCTTCTGTCTCTTGTGAGCATCACCTGTGAAGCCTCTCTCTTCTCTACTGGTTGCCCTCTCATCTTTTTAAGGCTTTTTGTGTAAAGCTCAAGTCCATTTTCTTGCCCTGACCTTAGATATTCTGGGTTTGGGAAACCTAGGACAGGGCTGACTACCCTGTTCAGAGCCAGGGCAGTAACAGTGCCTGGAAAGGCACAGAAGTTCTCAGCAGTGGTTGGAATATCCTGTGACACAGAGAGAGGAAGGAGCCATGTTCAAGGGCATGCTGGTCATGGGGCAGGGCTGGGGCAGACCCTGGCCACTGAGTGTAAGGCACATCTGCATCCTGGAGCAAGGGCCTGTTCTCCTTTGCTTCTGTAGGGGACAGCCAAAGAGGAGCAGAGAGCACTGACTCCTAATTCCTAAGAAGACCTCTTGGCAGACCATACAGTGCGCATGTTCTCATAATCTTCTCGTGGCTGTTCACACAGCCTTTGCTTGTTGGGTCGGGGAAGGAGAAAGGGCTCTGTGTAAGGAATGATGAGCTGAAAGGGGAGGAAGAAGAATACATCACCCACCCTATATGGTCACAGTGATTGCAGGAGGACAAGTTGGCTGCAACGTCTGATCTGCTGTGTCTTACTTTATGGGGCCCTTGTGCACAGTGTGTTTATAGAAATATCAAGTTTGTATTGATGCATGGCTAATGTCTTTATGCAAGTGATGTTATTTTCAGTCATCCAGAGAAGGATGATTCTAATTGTTATAAATCATATGTTATGTTTCCAAAAATACTCATTTGGCATTTTCTTTCTAGGAACTATTTTTGGCTGGCACCTGGCTTTTTCTCGATTCCCTGGAGAAGATGAGTTCTCAGCTGTTGTTGAAATGTGTTACTTATGGGTCAGTTGGTGGGAGAGTTTGCCTTGCTGCCTTAAAGTCCTTGATCTTCTTTGTGTTCACAGAAATGTGCAGAAATCATTGTGGCTCACCTTGGCTACTTGAATTACACTCAGTACACAGTAACGGTGGGATTTGAGCACCTGACTCTCCCCATCAAGGAGCTGAACTTCACAGTGAGTACATGGCTGGTTGCACAGGCTTCCATGGCTCCTCTGTTGACTGATTGGAGTGCATCACAGCATCTAATGAGGCTATTTTGGACAGGAAAACCCTAATTTCTTAACCACGTAGAACTAAGAGTAGCTTAAAGAAGCAGTGTAGAAATTGGAAAAGCTTGGGTATTGTGAGATTTAAGAGAGTTGGAAGGTAATTGAGGGATCACGAGGTACACCAGCCCTCCTGTGAAGGCAGGACCTCGCCAGCCCTCGTGTCTTCAGAACCTCAGTGAGAGGAAGCGCTGTGATAATACATTGTCCTTTCTTGTGTCCAACTGAAACCTGCCTCCTTGTCCTTCTCCCTCAGAGTCAGTGTGACTCTCAGAGTGAGTAGGAATGAGGGCTTCAGGTTGGACAGATTAGCTGCATTCAAATCCTAGCCGCATTGCTTACCAGTTAGTCCTTGTTGAGCCTCAGTTTATTTTACCTGTAAAATAACTACTTCCTACTGTTGTGAATATTTAAGGAAACTGCTAATGGATAGATTTTTAAAAAAAATTTTGTTGAGATACAGTTCACATACCATAAAATTTACCCTTTTAAAGTATGTGGTAGCCAGGGATGGTGCATGCCTGTAAACCTACCACTCGGGAGGCTGAGGCAGAAGCATTCGAGGCCAGCCTGGGCTGCATAGTGAGTTCAAGGCCAGCCTGAACTACATAACAAGACCCTGTCTCAAAAAACAAAAAAGGTGTGTGGTTCAGTAGTGTTTAGTATATTCATAGTTGTGCAGCTGATACTACTGTCTAATTCTAGCATGTTTTCGTCACTCCTAGAGAAACTTGTTGTTGCCCACTTCCTTCTTGTCATACTTTGTCATCATTGAGACACAATATCTGACACCCACAACTTAAAAGAGGAGAGGCTTATTTTGGCTCACAGTTTATTGAGGCTTCTGTCCATAGTCAGCTACCTCCAAGGCAGCATGACAGAGGCTCATGGCAGAGGAGAGCTCTCTCAGAGGAGAGGTCTGGTATGACAGGAAGCAGAGAGTGAGAGAGTGGGAGCAAGGGAGGGAGCTATGCCCTTCCAGGCTGAGCCTCCAGTGACCAGCCACTTTGGACCAGGCTCAGCATGTTAGCTATGAACTCCCATGCTACAGTCACCCCCAAAAGCCCCATCTATGAGTGCATGAGGATTTTGGGGAAATACCTAGATATAAACCTTAACATTCTGCTCATGGTTCCCAAAAGACTCATGCACATCACTTACTGCAGCTCGTGGCATGGCACACAGGAAATGCGTAGGAAGAGAGAGAGAGTGCAATAGAGGGGAGCTGGGAAGCATGCCTCTGCTTCCTGTCTGCCATGCTGTGAGTAGCTGTCTTCTGCCATGTCCCGCCACCTGGGAGCCAAACATCTATGGACTGAAACCTCTACAAACTGAACCAAAATAAACCTCCCCTCCTTTAGGTTATGGGTATTGGGTGTTGTGTCTCAGCGATGAGGTAAATGACTAGGGCACCTCCTCATGGTCCCTGCAGTCTTGTTGCTCTGGATATTTGCTCAATCTGGACAGCTCCTCTGAATGGAGTTGGAGAGCAGGTGGTCTTTTGTGACTGAGTGCTTTCACTTAGCATGCTGTTCTCAAGGCTCATCCACATTGTTTGGGACATCAGCACTTCGTTCCCCTTTTTTCTCCTTGAATAATATTTCATTGTATGGGTGGACCACATTTTGTTTGTCCATTCACCCGTTGATGGGAATTTCATATCTCTCTGTATCTGATATCTATATATCTATATCTGTGTCTGTCTCCATCTTTATCCATGTACAAACAGTCTGGATATACTGGTGAAGGAATAATGCATGCCCTGGGGGCCAGAGCAGGACAACATGCAATGTCGAGCAGTGCATTGTTTAAAACTTATAAATGGTTTATTTCTGGAATTTTGTACTTAATGTTTTTGGACCATGTTGGCAAAGGGTAACTGAAATCGTGGCATTCCTGCAAGACAGCCGGTGAGGGGATCTACCATACTCATGGGATAATGCTCACCTGCCATGCCTTCTAGAAGCAGCTAGTTTTACCAGCTGTGCTCCACACACACACTGGGCTCTTGACTTCTTGAATGCCATTTTCACTTGCCTTCCTGTATGTCTCCTGAGCTTCCTTCTGTGACACATTATTTGTCATCACAGTGACCACCCTTAGCACTGGGGGGCTTCACAGTGTGTCTCGGCACATTGTCCTCTAATTAAGTGCTCCTTAGAGTGACCTTTGAGTGACACTCGGTAGCCAGCTGTCCACGTCTCTCTGTTCCTCCTTTATCTTCCCAGGTCACAACCTGAGGAGGATGAAATTAAAACAACAGCCCCCGCTCCTGACCTTTCAGTCCTCTCTGGTGGACTCCAGCTCCCACGCAAATTGAGAGGGGTAGTGGCAGGCCGTGTTTGATAAGGACTGCCTTAAAAATTTTTCTCCTTTTGTCCCCAGATAGTTCTGTAGAGTGTCTCTTGCACTGTTTTGAAAGCCTGGAAAACACGGGGTCTTTATGTCACTGGATCTGAATAGTGGCTCCCCATTACAGTGTCCCCACCTGCCATGTTTTCCTGCTGCTCTCCATTTCGGAGAATTCTGAGAATGTAAGAAAACATTTGTTCTCGGCTGAAGAATTAGCTCCTGGAGGCAGTTATGTTTTTCTCAAAATTCACTTATTTCACATCTGCACAGGATTTGACATCATCTTTGCCTGCAAGTAGTAGGAGTAGACACTGAATGGGTGGATGAGTGACCTAGGCCATAGGCCCAGGAGTGTCCTGGTGGGAGGTGACCTAGGGCAGGAAGTGGGTGCTTGTTTCAGATGTAACTTCACAGTCTTTTGGGGCAGGCCCAGCCTTGGAGAGGACAGAGATGGCTTTCTGATGCCAACAGGCTCTTTTTTGTTTTTGGTACCGGGGATCAAACTCGGGTCCTTCCACTTGCAAGGCAGGTGGCAGAACCACTGAGCTAAATCCCCGGCCCCCAACCAGCTCTTGAGGTAAAAGCCAGTGCATGGAATGATGTAAACGCCGGAATCTTTTCTGAGGCTCTTATTCTTTATTTCCTTCTATCTATTTTACATTTTAATTCCAAGCATATATTTTGGGGGTTAAAAATAAACACAAAAATAAAAACTGCATTGTTACATAGAATCAGGTCCTTACAGTGGACCTGGAAGTGTCCACAGGCTGGCCTCTGCTCCTCACATGCCACTAAGGTTCTAGCCCATTACCCACAGTCCTGTGACCGTCCTTCCCCTGGTCCTGCCCTGCTGAACCCAGCTTGACAGGTGGGCTGGGGTCTGTAGCAGAGGGGCAGAGGTTGTTGCTGGCTGCAGTGTGAGGGAGGAGACACAGTCTTCTAGCTCGGGCACCAGTGAGCCCTAGGCTGAGATGTTCAGTTGCACCCCTCCGAGGAGCAAATGGGTGGGCCTCCGGAGAGGAAGCCTGCATGCAGGAGGTTCCAGCCAGGGAGACAGACTTGGATCACAAAGGCATCCAGGACCCCTGTGTGTCATGCATCAGGTGGGTGCTCAGGTCCCCGTCTCCCCCAATTAACTCATCCTTTAGAACCCAAATGTGTATTTTAACTTTAGCTATATGAATAAAGCATTATTTTCTAGTGTTGGTTTTTTAAAATGCATCCATTGTTTTCTGTTGCTCTGATAGAGTCTTAAGACAAAATCCCCCTTCTTCAAGGGAATCCATGGTTATTTTCTTTTTCTTAAGAGTAACAGTCCCTTGAGGGTGAAAATGATATTTCATCACTGTTACTTTGAACATATTTTGATGGTTATGATTCTTCTCTTCCAGATCATGCTTTACAGTACGACTTTTCAAATAGGACATGTACTCTCATTCTATTTGAGTATTGTATTCACCTCACCCTCTGAATCATGACTATGGTTATTCTATAAATGACATGATACTATCATCAAATTTAAATACTATAACAGTATTTATAAAACTTATGTTTTTGGGCCAGGGATTTAGCTCAGTGGTTCCACCACCTGCCTCGCAAGCTGAGGACCTGGGTTCGGTCCCTGGTACCAAAAAAAAAACAAACTTATGTTTTGGATTTATAGTACAAATTGTAATTGTGTGTGTGCAAATGCATGCACATGCATGTGTTACTGAGGACTGAACCCAGAGCCTTCTCACCAAGCTAGCCCTTTTTAATTCTTTATTTTGAGTCAGAGTCTAACTAAGTTGGTAAGTTGCCCAGGCTGAGCTTGAAGTTGTGTTCCTCCTGCCTCAGCCTCCTAGAGTGCTGGGATTATAGGTATGTGTCGTCACACCCAGCTAGAAGTTATTGTTTACTGTACTTCTACTATTTGCTAGGCACTGGGTTAACATTTTATATGTATTATATAAATGCAGTGATAATTCTGTGAAGTAGGTAATAGCGCCCCCATCTTACAGAGGGGAGACCTGGGGCTTAGTAAGATTTCATTACTTCCCAGCTTGAGAATGGTGGAGCTGGGATTCAAAATCCGCACTTGCTTACTCACTGTGATCTCCACCGTGCCATTAACACCAGTTGTTAGCTGTTGATTTTTGTTGATAGTTTTACTGGGGAGATATTTGATGTGCAGTGAAGTCCACGTATTTGAAATATAAGGGACTTGCAGGAAGGTGATGGAGTGTTGAGCAGCAGAGAAACAGCTTCTCTGAGATTTGGTGTCCAGACACTGAAGTTGAGCAATGTGAGGAAGAGAAGAGGGAGGGAAGTGGGAGAATTGAAGCCCATGGGGAAAGAAAAGAGAAACTTCAGTGAAGAAGGATGAGGAGGTAGTAAGCAGCACTTTCTCCCTGAGCCCTGACTCACTGCGTGGAAAGGGCAGCTCCAGCCTGCAGATGCACAGTGACTACTGGCGACCCCAGAGGCCTCCACAGAGAAACGCACCAGTGGAACGGAACAGTAAAGGAAGTGGACTGCAGTGGTTGAGCAAAGTGAACTCACAGTGCGGGAAAAAA